TCACTTATTTCTTGTGCTCATTAAGTTTACCACAATTTTGCATTGCTTATTTTGCTTTTTGCTACCTCCTTATTTCGCGTAAAACTTCTATGAAGCAAGAGGATGCTTAAAAAGCAGCATTCTCATTCTCCGTCTTTCGATATCCAACAAGACGCTACTTTCAACAACCTTACAGCAGTAGGGAAAGCTTACTTTTTCGAAAGCGGGTCGAGTGCATTCCGATTTGTGTAGTTGACCAGTGCATTGAATGACTGATTGGCCCATTGCCAGAACACTGCCGCACCGGTGCTTCTGAACTGAGAATTTCAGCAGAGCCAGAAGCTAACAGAAATGCAAGCCACCAAAAAGCCATCCCAAACTACTCACCGGTACCAGAGCATCATTGCACCGCACAGCATTGTTCCACCCCATGCATTTGCGCACATGCGACCGGGCAGCGTCTGCAGCTGACCGGTGTCTGGATGGAAAGCCGAGCCATAGAATGCCTGGGCACGCTGCAAATCCGCCAGGCCAGTCCCGGCCGGTTCGCGCCCTTGCCTGTAAGCTGCTTCATTATTAATAAACGCATAGTCATTCCAGGTGGTTTTTATTCATCGGATAACACTCACTTGAGAAACTGGAGAACTGCCAATTATTGGTATTGGCCCAGTTTTTACACACGCAAAAAAAAAAAACTGATGTGTAAGTAAACACACAGCGCTCATCACAACATTTTTATTTTACCATTTTTTCCACACAGAAAAAAATGCTAAAAAAAATGATATATGTGATGAGTGTCAAAGAACTGAGACACTGCACTGCCAAGTTCGAAATGAGAACAGCAAACCTGTACAGTTCGAGAAGTCGCTTGCTATCCTGAAGTGTCTGGCGACTAGCAAATGCTTTCAGTGGATCAGTGATGGCAATAAAATAACGCAGACGTCCCAAAAATTTACTCTGATCCCACCTGCAAATTCAACACACAACCAGTGTTGCTTGCGTATGTGGTGGCTTCTCCTGGCAGTATCCAGAAGTTGCTATGAAAACGAACTCCCAAACAAACTAGGCATTAAAAACCCCAAAAACAGAACGCAAAGGATCTCACGGACGGTATCCCCAGTCCAAAAAAAAATGGCAATTGCATGAAGGCGGAATTGGCATGGACGCACCAGAAAGTAACTGCTTCATGGTCAAGCATGCGCAAAAATCCGTACGGAAACCTAAGAACTGTTACTCTGTTTCAGGAAATTTTGATTGCCAATTAGCATTGATGTACAACAATTGTGGGTGATAAAAGTCTCTAAATTTGGAAATCACAAATACTAGCAGTAGAAGTGCACAGATGGATTTAGCTACAGAAGTCTATTATTTATACCTCGGCTCGTCGACGTTGTATCGTTGTGTTGCTGTTACTGCGACCAGTTCCGACGACATTTCAACAACATAAGTTTGGCGCTTCAAATAACACGCTGTGGAAC